TTGTAGTTAGAATTTCTTTTTTTGTTTGTTTGTTTTTTGTTTTTGTTTGTTTTTTAATGAATGAAGATAATTCTATGAAAATGAAAAAAATATATGTTGTTGTTTTTTTGTTTGTTTGTTTACAATATCCAGACGAGTGTAGGTGTGGCCTGAGGTGACACTGCCCTGCTAGAGGAACCACTGCTGTCGCTGCACTTTAATGAGTGAACAGTCGAAAACCTGATCAATGACTAAACTRAAGTCCCATTTAAAACACAAAGAAGAAGAAAAACAGACTTTGATGCATTTTGTTCTCCTGAGGCTTTGTTCCTGACCTCAGTGGACCTTGTTGTTTTCGCTGGAGATCTCAATCTTTTTATTTATTTWTTCTTTCTTTATCTGCGATGGAGCGTAAACTAAGCAGAGGGGCCACGTGGGATTTTGTAGTTTGGATGTTTAGCCTGTCTGTTGTTGTTGATCAAATGATGGTTTGATTATCACACTGTGTTTTAGGGYTTCATTTATGTGTCTGACAGACTGGGTGTTTGGTTAATAAGGTGTTTTCTATTGCTTTCTTTCTAAACTGCTTGGAGCAGGTTGCCTGTATTACAGCCAGTCTGCCTACTTAGCTGTATTTCTACATGAATTATTAACTTCACGYCTATCTGACWGTTTTTTTCCTGACTAGTCACCTCTTTTATTTTACTGTCCACATCTGGCATTTTGTCTGCAGCACATGCAGTGTGAAGATCTGTGGTTAAATAGATTGTTTCTCATCACTGCAGTATGTCAACTAAAGTCAGTATTTATAGAGCTACAAGACGTCTGTCTGTTTCTTTTATCTGTTCTCGTCTTCTGTCTAATTTTCACGTCTTTCTTGTTGTTGAGAAAACCTTTGTTTGTTGTTGCTGCTCACTTCAGTCTATGATTAGTGAGTGTGTTCTCCTTTGGCTCTGCCATCTAAACTCTTCTTGTCTGCTTTCCTTTTGAGCGTTTTGGTAGAAGAAGGCATCTGCAGTCAAATTTCTACAGCAGTTTGTCCAGTTCTTCTCCAGATGGCGAGKTGTAATCCAGCAGCAGGTGTAAACATGATGAGAAATCTGCAGTTTGAATATAGGTTTCCAATTTTAGATGCATATTCTGTTATATTTCTGATAATAAGCCCCTGCATTACAGTTATGGTTTGCGTTCCAACCCTGTTAGACATGTCCCTGTGCTGTTTGTTTGTGCATTTTGGGTTTCAATAGGTTAAGTCTGGAAAAAAATCTTGAAAACCCTCCTTGAAATGTTTCAGAAAGACCCTAATTTCTGAAACGTCCTGCTTTTCTTTTTGTTCTCAAACCAGTCTTRACCTAAAATAAAACGTTTGATACAACAAATCAAATTTCAAGGAGAAAAAAAACGCATTTGTTGAAAGACGCAGCTTTGTCTGCGTCGTTCCTGCTTCTCTTTTTGTTACACTCACGTTGGAGGAATGCTTTTGCAGTGACTAACTCAAGCTTTGCACACAGCACATGCCTCTGAAAGCTTTTCACTGTTAGAAGTGCCATCATGTTGGTTATGTAATAATAAGGCCTCCTGGTCATCTTTGGCTTCTTTTCCACTTAACTCCTGAAAAAAGTAGAGTCCACGAAATGGACTCCGCAGTCCAGAGGGACAAACCCCTATCATTACCCAGCCCTTAGACCCGAATTAAATATTATTATAAAGCTAATACAAAATAATATGTTTGCTCTTTATATGACCTTTTTAAAGACTACATTACTGATGCAATGACTTTCAATTATTCTAATTTCTCTTTTTTTTTCTTTTAGATTTTATTGTAGATTAATTTGTTTGACCGATTATTGGGTACCTCTTTTCATACCAGCATGGCCTTTAAAGCCCCCTACTCTTTGTACAAAGCCTTCTACTAATTGGGAAAGCCTACTTTTGACCTAAAAAGGATGAATTGAAAATGGAGGAAATAGCTGTCAGCTGAGATTATTGTACCAGCCAACTCTTTTTGTGGCCTTGTTGTTTTTTTGTGGGCAGATTTTAAAGGGAAGAGTCTGCTCTGGACTGCAAAATGAAGATAATACTCGTAAACCTTCATGAACCCTTGAATGCCGTGACATTTACAGCCAATAAATAGTAGTAATTTGTAGAGCTGGGCGATATGATCAAAATTTTATTTCACGGTATTTTCAACATTTTCACCRGTTTCATGGTATTTGACGGTATTTTTCTTTTCATCACAGCTCAGCTGATAATAAAAGGTACAAACCCTGCTTATTGACTTTTTTCTTTYACTGTACCTCKGTCTGTGTCTCTGTTTCCCTCCTCTGTGTCTGTTCTTCTCTGACTGGTGGTTGGAGACAGTAGTCATGCATTTTGGTCCAGTCGTGAAGGAGGAGGGTTAAGAAAAGATTATGATCGGGTTTATCGTTTTATGTTATTTATTAAAGCTTATCGGCACGACTCACATTGCACACCAGTCAATTCCAACTCCACTACGAACTACTTCCTGCAGGCTTTTCACAATAAAACCACGTTAAGTCTCCATCAGCATAACGTCTCCATATTAACTAACTGCGTTAAATCTAACTGTGCACGTCACTGAAGAGGTGTTTACTACATTCAGCGACGGCGAAAACGGGATGTTTTTTTAACGTCAGTCAATATAAGCAGTGGAATTGCCACCTGCGGCTGCAACTAACTGCTCCAAACATTAACGCACATAGCGCTGCAGCAAGGAAAAATGTCCCCCGGAAAACAACAGTTCACTGGCGGCCACGACGAAACGTTCCGCTATTTAAACCGGAATGTCCGGTATTCAAAAAATTCGTATCATAACAAAAATAAAAACCGGTATTCGGTACAAAACGGTATACCGCCCAGCACTAGTAATTTGTATGTAGTTCACTAAATCTCTAAAGGGATTTAAAGAAAAAAAGCATGTTTGTGTCTTCCAACATTGATTGAATTATTGGCTAAAAACAGAGMTTGAACGATGTTTTTCTGAACACATTTTTGCACTGATCYATCTGTAACTTGTTGTGATCTTTGCTCTATATCGATGGGATGGAAATGTTGAACGTTTGCAGTCTTRACTCTATGATCGCAGGGAGCTGTTCCTCCATGCTGGATTAAGAAGATGTTGGTTTAGCTCTGCGGACAATCTGTAGCTTCAGTTCTGTRATTCCTATCAATAATTTTCATCTATTTGTCCTGAGTTGCACTTCCCTGAGAAACATTTCCTTTGTTTTTGTTACACCCAGCRTGACTTCAGGCACGGTTCCTGTCAAAACATTTAATAACTTGGGGAGATTTGGTTTGCTGAGACTTGAACTGTTCACATTACAAACTTTGTCTTGTTTTGAAGGTGAAGATGGGTCTCTTGTTTTGACATGTAGAGATTGATAAAAATAAATATCCTGGTTGTTGTATTAACACAGTTTCTGCTGTGCCTGTACAAGTGTCGTCTACAACTAATTAAATGCTGAAGCCTAGCCAATTCAAGATGGCCACCATTACCAACTCGCTGGGTTCAGTGGTCTACCGAGGTGCATTCAAAAATTCTTAAGTTAAATTCAATACCATTTAAAACTTTTTTAATACAACAAATATTTTGTAATAGCAACATTGGTATTCAGTCCAGACCAATTGGCCATTGGTCAAAATTTTAATTCCATATGYAGTGATTTATACACCTTCTTATAATAAAAATTATAAGGAAATTCACGGATTACCTCTAATCTGGGATTCAGTTTGTGTCAAAGTTGCAGAAGCGTTTTTYATAGCATCTTTTTTTTTTCCTCAGGTGGACGCCGTCGTTCTGAGCCCGACGAAGCGGAGCTCCTGAGGGTCAGCAAGCGATTGGTCGAGGATGCCGTCAATCGCGCCTTGCAACAGTACAAACAGGAGACACTTCAAAACGGGGGCGGGCCTAACGCAGCGACGGTGCAGCCCCCCGGAAACACTGAGGACACATCCACAAAGACGGACACTACAGCCAACTCCTCCACAGACAACAGGAAGTGACGTCATCAAACGGAGACTCACAGACTGGGGATGTCTGGGGATACATTTTTACGCAGCGGAACAGAAACTGCCCATTTAGAAAAAACAGTGATTATATTTTGTAGAAAGTTTTTTTTTAATCCCTTCACCTGCATTAAAGAATCTTTAATGAATAATTCCAGACGAGGAACATGTTTTCTTGGGGTTTTGAGGTTTTTCTTTCCTGGAGAAGTCAGTTCTGTTCTTATCATCACTCATCCGTTGACGACCTGATCCGCTCCGACTGTTTCAACCAACCGGATTCTTCCAAAGCCGATGATGCTGGACTCTGGTCTGTGTAGGTTTTTAGTTAATCTGGCTGTGTGTGGCTGATAAGGATTTCCTTTCAACTTCCAGCGTTTTTATCACACGTTTCAAATATCTGTTGGTTTTCTCCATCAACGGACGGTTACAAAAACAGATTAACCCCCTTCATCAGCCGAGCTTTAGCTGTTGTGTAACGCTGTTGCGTTCACTAAGTTCGGCCCTCTCTGAGACAATCGTCAGTCAAAATAACAACCACTCGTTTGGCCCGGGCTTCTGAATAATTACTCTTCAGGAAAAACAACAACACTAACTTGACGTAAGCAGGGGAGATGCTTGAAAATAATAGTTACACAGCAAATCACCAAGAAATGAATCAGTGCCAAAAGTGACCCGTTTGTTTTATCGCTCACTTTTCTGCATTTTTTAAAGTATCCTTGCTTTTCAAACCATTTGTCCCAAATGTTTGAGGTTTTTTTTTTTTGTGTATGTGATTTAATCTTTGTCATTTAGATTCGTAGATAGTTTGAAAGTAGTTGCCGCCTGATGCGTAGTATTTTTTTTTCTAATATGGAAGTATTTATTTCATTTTGAGAAGCTTTGGGTCTGTAGTTAATTCGGGCTTGGATGTGGAGGTGGTGAGCACAAAAAGTCACTCGTCACCTGCAATCTCTTTATTTYATTAATTTTAACTTGTTTGCTGTGATAACAGAATATATGTTAGTAAAATATGATTTTATGTGTAAACTGTTTTATTTAATGATTGAAAAGATTTCCGTTAATATTTTTGAAGACCTAAAAAGCACAAATGAAATTTTTTTGGTTTTTAACGGTTTTCTGAATTTTGATGTTTGCGTTAAATCGACTCACCTTCACGGAAAGCGGCCTTCCGTCACTGAAACAAAAACGTGATTCTTTGTTTTTGTGTGACGACGCACAGGTGACATTTTTAGTCTGTGTGTGTGTGGGGGGGGGGGATTAAAGCCCCCCACACTCTTCACTTTGGGGACTTGCCACGGTCACATATGTCAACCTGTCACTCAAACTTTGGATTCTTGTGTTGAGAAAAAAAAAAATAAAACTAAAAAGTCCACCTAGAGACGTTTGGTGTTCACGATGACGAGAACAGCAGTTCAGTCCTGGTGAAATCTATTAAAGAACTGTCACTCAAGCAGCACATTATTCTGTCTTAAGGTGGATTTTTAAAGACTTTTCAGTTTGATCTTCAGCTGTCACCAGATCCTTAATCTCCATGAAAAAAATCCCCTTTAATCCACAGTTTGTCCTGTTGGCCTGTGTGTTCAGCCTCAGAGCGTCCGTGTGTGAAAGTGTGTTTTCTGATCAGAGAGAAACTCTTGTACAGATAAATTCATGGCAGCGTTTGAAGCGACTGTAAACAAACAAAAAAAAAAAAGTAATGACCCCTCCCTGTTTGTCTTTCCACGTGTCTCTCTCCACATGTATGTTGATGCCGTGTGGGTCTGATCTTTGTACTGCGTGTTGTAAATCTGGTTCTGCCATGTTTGAACAATAAAACAGGATATGAGATACGAAACTAGTATTCTCTTCTCTCTGTTCTGGATGCAAATGAGGCTCCACTACGGTTAATTAATAAAAATATATATTTTGGATCGAGCTGAGGTTGAAGTAGTGGTAGAAACACAGCTCTGCTCCGTGCTTTATTTTGCTGTTAAAATGTTACTAAATTTAAACCGTTTACACTTTGTGCTCACCCACACATGTTGGTGAGTAAACACAGGGAAGACGAGAACACTCTTTACAAATGTAAACATTTTGAAGTTCATGTGATGGATCACATCAAACTTAAGATTAGGCCAAATTTAGTTAAAATGACCTAAACACATTTTCAAATTCCTGCTTTTAAAGTTACGTTTCGCTGCCTGGATCATCCTTTATTAGTCTTTCTAATCAGGATAATTTAATGATTTCTGGGTTGGGAAATTTAAGATGTATTTTAACCAGGAAAATGACAAAATTAAAGTTTTTCCTTCTCAAAATCATGTTTTTTGTTGCTGTTGATCAAATTGTTTAAACGACCCGTAGATAAGGGTTTTATTCATGATATTTCGGCAAAATACAAGAACCAATGCGCTTTAGTTGTCTATTTGGTTTGATGTGACTTGTTGCACTGCAAGGCCAGGCCCTGTCCAGCCCAGCTCAGCCTAGGTTCAAACCCAGGCTTGGTGTGTTCGCATTGTAGTCCAGTTAACCCTGATTATTCAGGCCTGGCTGCTTGGTAATCGTCTCTTCATTATGCAGGTGTGTCGAAGCAGAGAAACAAGTAGAACATGCAGGCCAGCGGCCCTCTCCCCCTGAGCTAGTCTACAGTAAGTGGGGCCGAGGGCTCTTTCACAAGAAACCTCTGAGCCATCTTCAACAGATAAGATATTAATTGAAAGCAGTGAGCGATGACTCAGCAGTCTCATTTAACTCATCGAGGTCCAGAAATCCTTTGTTCTCATTTCTGAAATAATTGCAGCTTAACTTTTAATCAGGAGATTTGATCAGCCTTCCTTGTAGCTGCTTTTAAGAGAACTTGGAGTATTTTTAAACYGCTTTGAGTCTTGCAGCAGGATAGTCGTCGGTCATTCTGTAGACCTCCTGACATTTTACAGACAACAATAATCTTCTATTTCCTGACATTTAAAGCAAATACCTCGGATCTGCACAGATAAACACAAGTAAAGGACACAGTGTTTGTCTTATACAGAGCTTTCCTCTCTTCTCGAGAGCTCTATAAAAACAAATGGAAGAAAGCCTCAGTTTAAAATCCTGCCCTGAGCTCTCGGGCTTCCCAGCTTCCCCTCCCGAGTCGACGTGAGAAGGTGTTGCATCATGGCGGTGGGGGAGTAATGTGATCGTGTGACTTATTCATTGGCTGACCTATCTGCGATGTTGTGCGGTGACAGCCTCGCGTTCGCTGTGATTCAGCAGGGCTCAGACAGAGCCAACAGCTTGTGAAGGCCGACTGTCAACGAGGCCGAGGGCCGTCACAGAGTCACCTGTTGGAAAACACAGATTATTCAAGAACAGAGGGAATGTTTGTAAGAAAGAAAACTCAAAACTACACTCATTTACTGACCCTGCTGAGTCATGTTGGGAGGTGAACGTGGATGATTCAGTAATGTCACATTGAAGTTTCAGGAAAACAGACTTGAGTTGGAATATATATATATATATATATATATAAGAGAGAGAGAGAGAGAGAGAGACAAACTCTGAAAGTTGATGTTTCTCCAAAAGAAATACTGCAAGGATGTTGGATATATTAATAAAACACAATGCTGAATATTCATGAAGCGAGTCAAAAGGAGCACCTGTGTTGCTTCCCCAGAGAAAACTGTGACTTTGAATACTCAAGTGGAYATTAAATAGTATCTGGTGCTCCCTGTATTTTTAACATTTAATTAAAGAAATTAAATTTGTTTTTTGCTTTTTATATGTGGGGGAAAAAACAAGTTAATAATGCATCATTTATGTGTAATCTATAAAAATCTATAATTAAACCAATCCCAAAGTCTCAGGTTGCTGATCCTCGTGTACGAACTATAGGGGCTCTTAGTATTGGTCTCAAAACAAGATCAAAAAYACTTTTTGGATGGATATGATACTAAGACTTGGTTAGATGGACAATTTTTGTAGTGAATACATGTAATTTTCTAACCTCTTACTTCCTCTTAATACTTTTAATATTTAAGTGCATTTTAYATCAGGCATTTACTTCTGATACCTAAGTACAGTAAATGTCCCTCAAGTATCACTTTGAGGTATTTTAAATGCAGAGAAGCAAAATCAGTCATCTTAAAAGTACGTTTTAGTTCTAAAACTTTTCAACTTGAAGCTCAGTGTTTATTATATTAGTGAGCAACAATAAGAAGTTAAAGTTGTRGAGAATTTTTCGTCTTCCTCGTCACCCTGTACCCCCAAAATAATAGACAAATAGACAAAGGAGTAGTATAGAGCAGTGTTTCCCAAAGTTGGGGTCGGGACCCAAAGTGGGGTCCTGAAACATCAAGGTGAGGTCCTGACAAGATTTTCTGAATTAATTACATTTTTGCCTCAGTTGTTACAAAGGAGTGAGGTTAGTGTATTTAAAATGGATAAAAGTGTTACTATGCCCATGTTTAGTTGACCTGATACAAATGTTTATCATCAAAAATAACTGGGGGCACAGGTCTCTGCTACTGTTATTATGTGGGTCAAAAGCTGAAAAGTTTGGGAACCACTGCACTTTGGTTCCCAAAGTTGGGCTTGGGACCCAATTATGGGTCATGAAGCACCTTGGATAATCTCCAGAAATCAATTTAAAGGGTAATAAAATAACTGCTGATCTAATATTTCCCTATAACTATTAAAAAAAACACAAAATAAGTATAAATAAGTATTTATATTTGTGTACAAGCTGTTTAGATTGTCAAAAAGCCTGTGTTTTTARGGTTATTAATGAAGTTTGTGTACTCAGACCWGTAATATTTGGGGTCACAAGTTTTWGCMATGMATATTTTGTGGGTCAGAAGATAAAAAGTATGGGAACCACTGGTATTGTTGGTGTGTTTATGAACTTGCTTTTGTTTTTATCCACTTCACTCCTCAGTCTGGGAGCTCGAGGGTTCTGCTCCGTATCTTAGCCGTTCCTGGGCCTGAACACTTCAGAGATCTGAGGTTGTTCCTGGGATCTTCTGTCCCCAGAATAAGGATCACTGCTAAAAATAAAACACCAGAAGAGAAGAGCTCTTCCAGGCTTTGAACACAATCTCCCACAGCATCAATGGAAGCGGAGTTTTCTTCGGATTTTTCATAAAACCTGGGAATAAATCCCTGGCCTGAATCCACATTGTGTAACGCAGGTGTTCTTCTGCTCACAAGTGTCGACAGGCTGAAGCCCACAGGGCCGTTCTCTGCTTTTTACTCCAACAGACGAAATAWACCAGTTTTCTTCATCTACTTATTTTCTATTTCGGTCGTCAGTTTCAGTTGACACGTCCGTGCTCTACTGTAAAATATATAGGTGAAAATRGAAAATGCAGAAGCTGAGAGCTAAAAAAATAAATAAAAAATTGKCAATTATCATCATATTAATTGTTGGAAATTGTAGGGCGTGCAGAGGGAGAAGGAGGAGGAGTGCAATTATTTGTGGTGAAGAGCTCAGCTGGGAGGAGGGGACACAAACATGACTGGAATATGAACAAGCCCCCCGCATCTACCCCGGTACACCCACCCACAGAGAGACACAGAAACTATTTAAAAATAATGATCCTGCCTCTCTAAATCACTCCCAGGAATGACAGAAATCCTTTCAACCTTCAGATGGAACAAACATTCCTATCTGGAGAAAAAAAAACAGGCGTCAAGGTCAGTTCATCCTAGATAATGTCTGGAAACTGAATTTAAGGGGAAAAAAAATGACTTAATAAACAGTTTAGATTCAGCAGAGGCCTGATAATGTCTACAGGAATAATTTAAACACGCACAACCAATAAGGATGGAAACAGAAATCCATTTTAAGAAAGCTACAGTAGGTAAAGCAAAATTGATTTGCCCATTATTCAGAAATGTTTTAAAAATAACACGTTCACACAACAGTGTGTCGACTTCATGCATTCCATTGACCCRTTTCTTTATTGACATAAAAACAAAAGGTTAACACACTCAGAATAGATGGTTCAATTTGAGCAGAATGATGTCCACATAGACCAGACAGGACTGTGCCTCACAAATGAAAACTTAGGTGTTATCAGGCAGTTGCCAGAGCATCTAGCAGCAGGTTTTTATCCGTCGGGGCRTCGTTTTACCACACCCCATTTCTGCTTATCTTTGGGTTTGCTGAGGTTTAACAGGCATTTCTCTGGATGAGGTGCAGCTTTCACTCTCAACCACACTACATAGGCCTACTAGCCAATAGGAATTAAGGTGGGGGCGGGTCATGACCAAACATCGGTTTAGATTCAGCAGTGAGTCCCAAACATAGACTGCAAGTTTATGAAGCCAGAGGAAAACACCTGAAGAACTAATTGCACCGGGCTTGGATAGAAGAAATGACCTAGTTCCAACTCAGTTTCTGGAACCCCGACCCGTGGTTCTAACCGGGCTGGACTGCTCTGCAAATGACATCAGCTACTGTGTCTTACTAATTGGTTCCCTGACTGGGGGGTTAAGTAACACAGATGAGATTAACTTTATGTGAAACGTGTGCAGCGACTGTATCGTTTAGTTTTGTTTTTCACAAAAGTTAACAACAGGCTAACGTTAGCATGCTGTTACCACACCCCATTGACACAGAACCAGCAGCGTGTTTGTACCACCAGCTCTGTAATCTGTCATTTCATTTTGTTTCCACCTCTGCACTTTTATGTCGGTGAGGCTGTTTATTCTCCTGAAATGCAGAACTAACGTTAAATCTGGAACCACTTGTGTCTGATGCCGCACTAAAATAAGTTTATCTAAATACAGAAGAGTCAGCTGAGTTAATCTACTGTTTATGGCTCCTTTTCAACTCAAGAACATTTCACTGACAGTATTTATTTCAGCCTTTAG